AACTCACAGTCTCCCAGTTTCTAGCCTGATGCCTTAACCACTACACCAAACTGGCTCTCAATATATGGATATATGTGTGTCTAAATGCATGCACAAGGTTTCAGAAAGCACAATACTAATTTGTCTTTCTGTATGCCATTAATTTATCACCCTAAGCATTTCTGTTATATTACCTAGGTTTATTAAAACCAGAAGCCTTCTAATGTTTGCTATTTCTGTCCAGCATTGAAAATGCTTCCAGACGAAGATGCTTCTACTATCTAAGGATAAACAGTTGGTGGTCACACAATCTTTCCCAGTGTGAGACCCACACCATATCTTAATCTTAGCTGGCACAGAGGTTGGGGGGGGGGGACTGATAAGCATCCTGCTCCAAGCAGCCATCAACAAAGCTAAAAATTGTTATGATGTTCCCACAAACGTTAGCCTCTTCCTTGAACTAAAACTTTCCTAGTTCCTCCAAACTTTCCTTGCAACTCTTAAGACCTTATATGAGTTCCTTTCCTTCCTCTCTACTTTGTCAGCATATTACAGGCATTGCAAAAATTACACAAATCTTTCACTAGTACATGAAACACGCTTCCATATCCTTGATTTGGGATTTGGGGGGGTGGGAGTGGGGGAATTGCCTCTTCCATAATTAGTTCTACCAATGCTCCTAACAAAATAATTTGCTGATACTTTTAATTTCATAATCACATTTCAGTTATGGCTCTAATCCTTTGGTCTTTCTTAATGAAGGCTATAAATTGGCCAATTCTTTCCAACATTTCACATGCCGAATAGCAAAAGCTACTATGGTCCAGTGACCGCAAAGTAATTTGAACCTAGGCAAAATAATCAACCAACATATCTTGATAATGTAAGTATTATTCTCAACCACTAACAAAAAGAGAATTGTTTTAGAGTAGCATTGCCACATACTGAACTATGAATGATAATATCATATTCTATAGAAAATAATTTAAATTAAATTGAAGCAACAACATTCAGGAACTGAAACAACAAAGAATCTTGGAACACTTTAAAGACTAGCAGGATCCTGTGTTGTTTTTGCTGCAAACCATGAAGACAGCAAAGCATTTATGGCATTTGAAAAAGATATGTAAGAGAAAGATATTTGCCGTAATATTAGGCGAAATATCTTAGCAAAGACCTAGATTCTGCTTTACGTTAGACTAGCAATCTTACTGAAGAGGTAGATGTTTTCTAGCAACAGACTAAAGCTAGATCTAAGACAATGACTTTCTCTAAAAACATGTAACTCTAAAGTTCAGCTTTTCTCATAAGGTCACACGAATCAAGGAACTACCAAGGAGAAAACCACATCCCCACCAACACTGGCGGGGCAAGCTAGTCTATATAAACAGGGAACAAACCCCACACTCACCAGCACTGATGATGTTACCTAGTCAGGTAATGAAACATCTGCAAGCACACAACCAAGCTGGGGAAGCACCAAGGACTCCACAAAATAAGTTTAATTATGCACAACAATTGCAATTACTCTCCCTGCCCTTCCAGGTTTTAGCATTGTGCTTAGTTTGGTCTTTAATGCTGGTGACAGGTGCAAATAAGCCACTGAACAACTTCTCAGTCAATTGCATGCACACCAATATCCAAACTGCCTCCATGCTGAAAACTGTTCTATATTCAAAGAATGTGAAATGAATGTTGGTATGTTGAGAGCTAATGCAGGCTCAACATACTAGCAATCTGGCAAAGAAGAACCTTAACCTCTGAGAAGGAATCTGGCCAGAGTGGACCTGTAAGTGCCCACAGTTAGCATCTGTTCATATGTAATTCTAAACTATAGCAACCAGGGTCTTCCTCTCCAAAATAGCACCTTTTTATTCCCAGGACAGAAACTTGTTTCAATCTGGACCATTCCAGACAGAAGTACGCTTGTCTCTGGATTGTATCACCCTAGATCATAGATGACGGCTGACATTCTCCTAAGAGAAAATATTTCTTGCCTATAAAAACAACCTGGGGTATCAGTGAAGACTCCAAGTGCATGGAAATATTCTGTTGCCAAAGAACATTCAGGCCTATGTTAAGAATCCCCCATCTGCAACCTGAAATGGTGAGCTGTTTCAAAGAACTTATAAAACAATTTGCCCTGAAGGTGTGGGAGCAAGAGAGGAGGAGGAGGAATGGAAGTGGTAGAACACTGCAATTCCCAGTGGGAGCCAAGATTACGTTGAACAGGATTTATGTTGGGATTGACTTATTAATGGATATTTCTGTTCCTTTCATGGTTGCCTTGTGTAGGTGCAATTTTTCCACTCCTTGTAGGTTCAATATGAGGCATAATAAGCTGCATCTAATGTATGCCTTGAAGATATGGAGGACACCTGGGCTCCTCTTTTAGTTCAGCCAACTCTGGATGTTTTTTAGATGTTGTTAAGGAAGGAGTTTGTTTGATATCCCTGAACAACCAGTTCAGTGAAAATAACATGGAAGTAAAATGTCAGTATTGTTAGAAGCTGGGAATAAAATCATTGTCTGTAGGGTGAGAGAAGGGGAAGGTAAAGGAGAAGTTATGAGTCAGATTTACTGAGTCAGAGGGACCTCTGGGACTACCCCAAGGGTGACTACAGTTTATATCCCAGCCCTTGCTCAAGGGGGGTTCATGCAGGCATAAAGTCCTCCATTGTTCTTGAAGTCAGCTAACACACAAGGGTTCCAGTTTTTCACGGAGTGTGCTAAAGCATCATTACCAAACCACCCTCGGGAAGCACCACAGCTGCAGAGCTGAAGAAAACAGTCAGCCTTCGATACAGGTTAATTACAGCTTTGTCACACACAATCAGCCAACTCAAATGACCTAAACTGAACATATTAGACTAAACACACTGGAAAGATATTTAAGCCTAAGTCTAAACCTTGTAGTAAGGAAACAAGAAACACAATTCTATGCTGAAAGCAACTATATCCTATGTTTGCAACTCCTAAAGTCAATTCTGCAAAGTTAGCAAGTTTATACAATTCATTCTCCTTCTGCTAGTCATGAAAAAGGGCAAAGAGCTTGACAAGATGCCAGTAGCCACCTCCACCCAACTGCTTGCAATTGTTTTCAGCCAACCATCTCTTAATGACTGTAGGGACTGGACTGGGGCACTATGGATCAAATGCTGGTTGTCTCAGGGGGTAAGCCTGCTGGCTGGAAAACAGCTGCCACCACTGTCAAAGATTTACTAATTCCCCTGATGATTTTGCAAATCTATATGCAAGATTTTAAATATCTTAGAAAGCTTCTTTGGACAGAAGTTTGCCACACTGGAAAACAACACTTTCTACCTATAAAGGAAGAAAAACAGGTTGGAGCAAGCATGCTCATCCTCATTCAGTTTCTTCAAATGTGGAAATCATTCATTCATTCATTCATTCATTCATTCATTCATTCATTCATTCATTCATTCATTCATATATCTGTAATGTCACATGTTCATTTAGGCTGGACAGAGAGCTTATATATTCATTGATAAGACCTGAATTCTTTATTGAATTTGATGCTACTCAAGCTACTCATCTCCTTTTGTTCCATCAGCCTAGCCATAAATAAGAAAACCATTTCATTTTCTCTTCTAGCCTCCTATATGTAAATGAAAGGCCTGAGAGCTGGAAACACTTTAAGAGCTGGGTAGCCCACAGCAGGTGGCAGCATCTATCTACCCTTGGCTATCCTTAATTTTCTCAATAAAATTAAATAGGATTTGACCTGGTTGGTACTTGAATGAGATACCTGAAAAACTCAAGATTGTAGGCTGGATTGAGAACTGAATAACACATCCCAAAAGAAGGCAATGGCAAATCATTTCTATATTACTGACAAAAAAAACCTACATGGATGTATCCTTACAGTTGTCAAGAGTTCATGGAGGTTAACTTTTTAAATTCAAACACGGTAAATCCAAACTGAATTGATCAGTTTCTATGGGACACTTGTGATTTTACTTGTTCTATGCCAGGCATTTCATAGATTAAAAGTAGGTTGAAAGTATGGAGAAGAAACAGAATGTTCCTATCTCAAGAGGTTCACAATCTCAATTCCAACTTTGCAGGAAACAATAGAAGTTGGGGAAGAAAAGAGGAAAAATTAGCAGGGTATGAATAGTGATTATTGCATATATTTAGATTCATTTTAACTGGAACAAGAAAAGAGAGAAGATAGCACACAGATATTCTGGAAGAGTAACAACACCTGGATTACAAATGATACAGAATAA